AGTATTAGAAATAAGTTAGCTTCACAGGAAACACAATGCAGTTCCCTCAAGGTTCCTTAGCAGCAATGAAGCTGACCATGAACAAGCCACTCAGTCCTGAGGAGATCAGGAACCCTGCTCATTCCCGGAAAGAAGTCACTGTTTTGACCCAAGAGAAGAATTCACAGGTTAGTCAGGGTCATCTCGTCCTGTTCTTTAATGTGCTCCCCTATGATTAGACTGGAGCCAGAGATAAGGAGCACAGGTCAGAATTAACCACAGTGGATAAGCTTCCTGCTAGAAGAATGTTTCCAGTAATTTTACTGGTGGTTCTACTTGGTCATTTCCACTCAGAATATATTGTCATAACTCTAGTTATCATGCTCATTTCAGGAAAAGCTGCTGATGAAAGCAGACACAGTCTTAAAGGTTTGGAGGCAGAATAACTTTAACTTATGATAAAGTTAAGAATAAAAAAAGAATATTTTATTCTTTTGAAAAAAAAAGAATAAAATTTTCAGCAGATTTTCAGCAGACTAAATATTTTTTCATGTTACCTAATTTATGTTTCTAAAGTTAAACTGAATTTAGTAAATAACTAGATATGGGCTTCTGATTTTCAATTTGGTATCAGAAAATCCATCCCTTACCTTCACAGAAAAGCTTCAAAGAGACTAATGGCATATTGATAAATACATTTAAACCACAAACAGACACACAATTTACTTTTATTGTTATATTTATGCCACGATATTATATCAAATCACACAAAATATCAAGCTTCACTTAGAAAATATTCTGGCAAGCTCTCTCTTCAGAGCCCCTTTAATCTCATTGTTCCTGAGGCTGTAGATGATGGGGTTCAGCATGGGAATCACCACATTGTAGAACACAGATGCCACTTTGTTCTGGTCACTTGAGAAGGTGGACTTAGGCATCACGTAAACAAATGTGATGGTCCCAAAATACAAAGTGACTGCTGTGAGGTGGGTGGTACAAGTGGAGAAGGCCTTGTGGTACCCCTCAGGGGAGCTCATCTTCAGAATGGTGATAAGGATGTAGATGTAGGAGACGACTATGACAAACACTGTGACCACAATGATGGAGCCAGCAACAAATGAGGGGACAACTGCAGGGATACTGCTGCTAGCAGAACAGGAGATTTCAACTAAAGGAGCAAAGTCACAGAAGAAATGGTTGACTAGATTTGGTCCACAGAAGAGTAAAAAGTAGAAGGAAAGAGTAAAAGAGCAAGAATTGAGAAAACCAGCCACGTAAGCCACTATGAGGAACTGAACACAAACTTGTGTGGACATTTTGGCGGAATAAAGCAGTGGGTTGCAGATTGCCACAAAGCGATCATATGCCATGATAGCCAGCAGGAAGCACTCAACTGCCCCAAAGACAGCAATTGAACCAAGCTGCATGCCACATCCATGATAGGAGACTGGATTTCTCTCCACTAGGAAATTTACAAGCATATTGGGAGTTACAGAAGTTGAAAGGCATATGTCTGCAAAAGCCAAGTGGCTCAGAAAGAAATACATAGGATGATGGAGCTGAGAAGAGATTCTGATAAGAGTGATTGTGCTAAGATTGCCAGATATAGTCACCAGATAGATACACAGGATGATCATAAAGAGTATGACACGAAGGATTGGGTTATCAGTTAAGCCCAATAAAATGAAACTTGTCACTACAGTATGGTTCCCATCTCGTAGGGAATCCATGAGATAATTTTTCTGCTACCGAAGGAACCTGTGATGAAACATTACATGAAAGGAGTTATACATTTTCATAGTTTCATTGTCATTAATACACACAGATATTATTATGAACAAATTACTTAAGTTTCATTTTTTTAACTTTAGAGTCCAGAGTTTATATTTACGTGTAAAGAGTCTTCTACCTTCAAAAATTTTTAGTCCAAACACTAGTGATCTGCTTCAAATAATGTAGATCTTTGTTTCTTTGTATTATCTATTTATAAAATACACTTAAAGTAGCTTTTAATCTAAACATTAAAAACATAAGACTTACAAGAATAGCAAAAGGAATGGTCAGTATAACCAAAAGATAAACATGTACAAACACGGGTATGTAATAGAGACTTGAGTAATAGCTAACATTTGGAAAGCTGACTAAATGGCGGGCACGAGGTTAAGAATTTTAGATATATAGTTCTATTTTAATATCCATGAAATAATTTGAAGAACAGTTATTTTATTTGTAGATGAAGATACTTATTTGGACAATGATAACTGTTACCCTAAGTTTATCTACCAAGTTGTAGAAACTAATTGTGAATCTCAGTTTGAATTCAGTCCATTCTTTTAGTAACTATTCAATAAATAATATTAAATAATACTCATAATGAAATCAAGTCATTTGGAAATGGGTGGATAACAAATTATTATTTCTACTGTCTGATGGCTAATGTATAAAAGAAGTGCCTAATTAATCAGAAACTTTACACTTTCTATCAGTAAGAGGAGACCATTTTTAAAGAACTATCGATTTTTTTGATAGGACGGAGAAGAAAGAGAAAGGAATTTTAATATTAAGATTGTAAATGAAGTCAACTACTGTATACTTATTATGTACAATTAACATTTACACATGAAATATAGTTTTATCACATAGTTTGAAATGCCAATCTAATCATCATGCAAACATTATATGTTTAACCTCTAGGACATAATTAAATATATTTACTCAAACAAATCATTTTTGACATAATAATGCTTTATAATTATAACATTATGGAATGAAATAATTTTAGTTTCAACATAATATTCAGCTTATAAAGTTACAGCCTAAAAAGTTCAGAAGTTTACCCAGATTCACCCAGATCATAGCCAAGTTGAATCTCATTTCCAAGTTTTCTGGATATATATTAACTGTAAGTCTGCAAAGCATCTCAAAGCTAGCGAATTTGTTAGCATTTTAGTTGAGTGCCAAGTTTAGATAGCCTGAAAGGCCATTGAGTTTCTGGTCTAATAGGTGAATCAATGAGAAACTCTGGTACCTTGAATTATGCCAGATTATCCCACTAAACAGACTTGAAATAGGTTAATTCAGTTAAGGTCACTGGTTAGATTACATTTGCCCTGTTTCTCTACCATGGCCTGTGAGTACAATACAACATTAGAGAATAAAGTGTTCTCAAATAGTAAATGGAAATCATTGCACTAACTTTCTCACAAAAGCCAAAATTTACCTCTTGAAATAAGAATTCATTCATCTTACAGCAGTAAATTCAGTCATTGTTGTTATATACTAGCCACGTTTTTATTATTGTTTCCTTTGGGTGTAAATGTCTAGAGATTCTAGAGATTCAAATGTGAATTCAAAAGCACCAGGGATCACGATCACATTCTCAGGTGAGCATGGAGCAGTTCACTTCACACAAACATAACTCATCTTTCAGGGTTCTGCCAATTTTGAACTAATCAATTTTTCTTAGTTTCTAGATTTGATGCACTTTTAATTAATAGTTATTGGGAGTATAAATAATCAATTATTGCATAAATGTTGGTTTTAAGTTTGACTTGATACTTCAGATTAATAATATTAGACTTTGACTATAAAATGCTAACCTTCGCTTCATTCATTCAGCATGTGTGTATTTTACGTGTTTTATCATGATATGTGTAAGATACTCCTTTAGGTGTCTTGCGGAACATGGGTGGAATGCCACGTAAAGTGAATTTTAAATAATACAATTATTTGAGACATGTATATGTTCTTTCCTAGCAAAAAGTATAAAATGAGTATCTTAAAAATATAGATAGAGAACTGTGAAGTAAAAAGAGGTCTGAATGACTTACAGATCAGACTTAGTCTACACTCCTTGAATGACGACTACTGATTAGTGTCTTATTTGAGTGGGTGGATGATGGGGGACACAGCTATCTTCAACCTGAAGACTCAAGCTAATTCTCTTGCTAATTCCTATTGTAGAACATCTTATGTCACCCTGCTGATGCACCACTTAACAAATAGTCCACTAATAACAGTAATCAACTTTCATCCAGACTACTCTTAGCCAAGTACTGGGCTTAACCCTTGACTTACGTATTTCCATTTAACCCTCGCAATGATTTGGTGAGATAAGTATTCCTATTATGCTAATTTTACTAAATGAACTGAGGCTCAGTTCAAGATATTTGTCCAGTGTATTCAACTGGTATAGTTCAATCCAGCTTTAAACTTCGGGTCAGACCAAATGCTAGAATGTACACTCCTAAGAACTACAGTCTTCTAGTCAATTTCAAGACTTAAGTGCCTCAGTGAAGACCACTGGTTCCCAACTAGTTTCTGACATACAATTTCTCTCGCCCCAACCTCAACACTCTGCTTAATTCCCTAAAACTGGCTGGACCTACATTCTGGCCCTGAGCACCAGGTCAGTTCTCAGGATCCTAACCTACTCTCATGTGCCCACCGGTGACCAGTTCCTGTTGATCTTACCTCCTAATGCCCATCACGTGTCCACTTCTCGCTATCTTGACACTAAAATCATCGTCTGATTGATTTTCCACATGCACGTTTAGCCTTCCACAGAACAGCCTAAGTTCTTTATTAAAATAGTTTAATACTATTCATTTTTAGTGCTATTATAATTATATTCACTTGGTTAAAATTTCTCAGAAAAGAAAACTATGGTGCATTTCCCCTTTACAAATCCAAAGAATGAATCCCCGCAGGTAACCACTTCTTGACTCTGTAAACTATTTCATGATTGAGATTCCTCAGTATCTGTAAATAAAATGCTTTACTAAAGAAAACTTATAGTTTCTATCTATGTTCCTGCTCGCTCTCATTTTTATTCAATTTGAACATAATTGATACAAGGAGAAAACCAGTGGTTTGTCCAAGTATGAGAGGATTATTATGGATATTTCTTGTTAAATTTATTATAATAACGTCAAAATACTCAACAGCTTAAATATCAAAAGAGAAAACATTTAAATTAAATATTCTACTGGGAGGATAAAATAAATTTCTCACAGATAAGCACTGAATGCAGTGACATCTACTTTTGAAAGATATATAGCAATAAACAAGTAGAGTTAAAGTGGAATTTCATAGGCAACGTTATTACAAATAACCTACTCTATTCTAGCTCACTAGAGAATAAATATAAACCTTACCCCACATAAAAAAAATGTTTTCAGTTCTTTAATTAATGACCATATATATTTCTCCAACATTTTATCCATGTCTACCTAACAAGATGTAATGAACTAGCTCAGTACATTGTCATTCTACATTACCAAAAATATCAGTTTTTTAATCTGTCAAGTTTCTACCTATTAATATATGTCCTACATAATTTAATGTTAATTAAGACTGAATTAAGAACTTGGTGTTTAAAATATGTATTTCCACTTCATATACCATTATATATCCAGGATTTTTACATATTCATCTGTTCACATTCTGTACATCTCTACCATTCACATTAATATACAGACACGCACATAAATTCAAATTTCATTTCTTCCATCCATTCAATTATATTTTGATGTTCTATTTTGTTAAACTCTGAAACTTTATGTAACATATATTCCACATTTAATTATTTTACTTTAATTATAGAAAATATCTAATGACCCTTATTTTTTTTAGAATAAAGATATCTGTACATCTATTCTCTTCAACTCTCTTCCCAAAATTGGGTCCTTATTGCAGTCACGTTACCTTGGCACTGTGTTATGCAATTAGAGTTGTTTTAAAAATCCAATATGCTGGTTAAAAATATTAAAATGAATAATTTTTTCAATATTATTACTATATAAATAATAGTCATTGGAAAACCAGGAATTTGCCTGAAATTTCAGCTTTATTTGCTTTCCTCCCTTTTCCTGTTCTGCTTCACTTTACCCATTACCACCTGTTTTTGATACATGAGTTTTCTTCTTAAAAAAGTTCCTCCAACACTTCCTGTAATACTGGCTTGTTGGTGATGAACTACTTCAGCTTTTTTCTTATCTGGGAAACTCTTTATCTGACCTTTGACTCTAAGTGACAGCTTTGCTAGATAAAGTATTCTTGGTTGTACATCGTGGGGTTTCAACATTTGACTATGTTGTGTCAAGCCGTTCTGTCTTGCAGTTTCCTTTGAGAAAACAGCTGCCAGTCTTATGGGTGCTCCCTTGCAGGTAACTAACTGCTTTTCTCTTCTCTTCCTTAAGAGTCTTTCTTTCTTTTCTTTCTTTCTTTTTTTCTCTTTTCCTTTCCTTTCTTTTCTCTTACTTTTCTCTTTCCTTCCTTCCTTCCTTCCTTCATTGCTTCCTTCCTTCCTTCCTTCCTTCCTCCCTCCCTCCCTCCCTCTCTTTATATTTTTCATTATTGTGACATTGCTTAACAAAATTTAGTAAGTTTTCAGTTTACAATTCAACAGTAAGGCATATATATATATAAACACACACATATACACATATATATACCCCACCCCCCGCCCCCGCACACACACATATTGCATTGCGTGTTCATCACTCATAGTTAGATTTCTTTCTGTCACCACATATTTGACCCCTTTAACCCATCTACTTCTCTTCTCTCTCCTCCTCTCTCCCCTCTGGTAACCACTAGTCTATTGTCCATGTCCATGAGTCTCTGCTTCTTTGTCCCATTTGTTGCTTTAGGTTTATATATCACCTATAAGTGATATCATGTGGTTTTTAACTTTTTCTGTATAGCTTATTTCGCTTAGTATGATTAC